GGGGGAGGCTCCGGCGGGGGAGCTGGATGCGGTGCTGGGGGGCGGCGGCTGGGACGTGAGGGTGAGCTTTGAGGGTCCCCACCCACCCGCCGGCCCCATCCGCCTGGGGAGGAACGCCTGCTACGTCGTCCTGGCCGTGCTCTTCAATGAGGAGGTGAGGCAGCCCCCGCGGGACCCCCACCCTGGTGGCACCCGGTGCCCACCCGACCCCTCTCCGTCCCCGCAGGACAGGGTGCTGCTGGTGCAGGAGGCCAAGCCCGAGTGCCGCGGGAAGTGGTACCTGCCGGCCGGGAGGATGGAGCCTGGCGAGAGCATCGTGGCCGCCATGCGGAGGGAGGTGAAGGAGGAGACGGGGCTGGAGTGCGAACCCCTCACCTTGCTGGCGCTGGAGGAGAGGGGGCCGGCGTGGATCCGCTTCGCCTTCCTCGCGCGCCCCACCGGTGCGTGCCTGTGCCGTTGGGTGCTTTGAAGGGGTGTGGGAAGGATGCTGGCAGCCCCGGGCTGGGGCATCGGTGTCCCCTGCCAGCCCCATGATGGGTATCGGCATCCCCAGCCAGCCCTGTGCCAGGTCACTGGTGTCCCCTGCCACCTTTGTGCCAGGGCATTGGCATCCCCTGCTAGCCCAATAACTGGCATCAGCATCCTCAGCCAGCCCCGTGCCAGGGCATCACTGTCCCCTGCCAGCACCATCACCAGTACAAGCCCCGTGCTGGGGTATCGGTGTCCCCTATCAGCCCTGTGATGGGGTATCGGTGTCCCCCACCAGCCCCATGACTGGGCACTGGCACCCGCTGCCAGCGCAGTGCCGGGGTCCTGCTGTCCCCCGCCACCCCTGTGCCAGGTCATTGCCATCCCCCAGCACCCCTGTGCTGCGACATCGCTGTCTGCCCACAGGCGGGACCCTGAAGACCCTGGAGGAGGCTGACGCCGAGTCCCTGCAAGCGGCGTGGTGGGCTGGGGACCCCTCCGCGCTGCCGCTGCGAGCCCCGGACATCCTGCCCTTGCTGGACCTCGCCGCTCGTTACCGCCGCAGCCCCCCGCACCCTCCCACGCTGCCGCAGGAGCTGCCCTGCACCCTGCTCTGCTTGCGGCTCCTGGTGGCCTTTGCCAATGACGCCGAGGACCTTTGGGTGCTGCTGGGCACGGCCGGGACCCCCCACCTGCCCGTGGTGGCCTGCGGCACGTCCCCGGCTGAGCTCCGCAGGGGTCTCCGCCTGCCTGCGCTGCGGCTGGGGCGGGGCTGCCCGCCCCCGGCCCCCCGCCCCCCCGCCCTGGGG